TTCACTTGTACGTTGTATTTATGTTTCCGTCTTTTCAGTTTCAACGACCATCATTGAGCCTATTCATTGATCGTTGAAGAACTTGTATTGTAATTCAATCAGAGACAGCGATACTTCAAGATGACAACACTCACACCAAAGAACCTTCAGCTAATGTCGAAGACTAAAACTGAAGATTAGAGACTGGCAAGTACGTGATCTGAAGTGGTACTCAGTGATTACAAGTCTGTCTGCATATGTGTGAAGACTGCTCAAGCCTCAGCGAATGCTGAAGAGACCTCCAGGTTATTCCAGCGTTCAGCGATCAAAGGAAGCTTGCTTAGCATGATTGTTGTTGTATTGTCCTTATGCACACAAAGGACAAACCCATACCCTTCTAAATTTTGGTACGGTATGGAGCCGACTAGTTGACTCTATTGCCCACCAACTTTAGGTAAGGATGTCCGCTCATGAATAGTGCTTTTTGGACAATTCACTGTAGCAAAGGACAAGCCTTCCTCTTAAGGCTTGACGTACTCTAACCCTACCATTTTGCATTAAATGAACATTTAATGCACTGGGTACATATAGAAGTGTTTCTTCTCCAGACAGAGTGTGCGCAACTCACTCTCTAAACTTAATTCTTACTTTGAGCATTTCCTAGCTTAAGTAAAAGAACTTTTCTTTACAGCATTTCTTTTCTCATTTGCTAAGAATTCGTGTGTAACCAAAGATTGTTTAAATAGGTTTTCTTACCTTATCTTTCCGTAGGTCAGTCTTGTAAAATTTGTATTGATCTTCTTTATCAATATACATTTTAAATTTGAAAATATTGTGTTTGTATTCATCCCCCCCCCCTTTCTACAAATTGTTTTACTTGTCTTGTAGACCCTCAAGGGACCAACACATGGCAATACTTAGCAGATGGCATTCTTTACAATCATCGAATTGCATTAACGTCTCCAGGTTTGTTAATTATACATTATAAGTATAGATTTATACATTTATTATTTAAATACTAAATAATTTATTGTTTTTGTATTTGTTAACTATTATGTTCTTTCTTAAATTGTTTTTTAGTTTTAGTTTTTATGTAATGATTGTTTACATTTACATTATACTTTTTATAGATTTATCTCTCAATGAAGAACAACTGAAGAACCTGACATTGTTTGAAATTGAAAAGATTTTACTTCGTAACAATTCCATCCTAAGAAAATTCACCACTATGCCTTACCCTGATAATGGTTCTCTTGAATTTTCAAACAATCGTTTGATTACGGAGGAGCTAGATTATAACATAGATAATCTACATGATGAGTTTCAGGAGCTTCTAACTGCTCTAACAAATGAGGAAAGATGTGTTTATGATGATATCATGACAACTGTTGAAAATAACAGAGGTGGTGTGTTTTTTGTTTATGGGCATGGCGGAATAGGTAAAACATTTATATGGAAGACATTAGTTGCATCAATAAGATCTAAAAAAGAAATTGTTTTAAACGTCGCTTCCAGTGGTAATGCTTCTTTACTTCTTACCGGTGGCATGACAGCACAATCTCGCTTTCAAATCCCTCTAATTATTAATGAGATTCTCTTTATCACATAAAGCCAGACAATGATGTTGTGAAGTTAATAAAAAAGACTACTTTGATTATATGGATTGAGGCACCAATGGTTCATAGGCATGCATTTGAAGCATTGGATAGAAGTATGAACGATATTTTCAATAGTTGACGCATTAGTGATTCACAAATGCTTTTTGGTGGCAAGGTGGCTGTTTTTAGATGAGATTTCAGACAAATTCTGCCGATTATTCCCAACGCAAGTAGACAAGACATTGTTAATGTATCGTTAAGGTCATCTTACATTTGGGAAAAATGCAAAGTCGTAAGGTTAAATAAGAACATGAGGTTAAGTGTTGACAGTTAATTTTCTGAAATTGAACTGACATTGATTTTTGCAAATTGGATTTTGGACTTAGGAGAAGGCAAGGATGGTAGTGATAATGATGGTGAGGCAGTTGTTGATATACCTCATGATCTTCTCATTACCGATTCAATGGATCCTATATCTGCAGTAATTCAATTTGTTTATCCTTCAATTCTTGTGAACATCAAGAATTCATCTTATTTTCAGTAAAGGGCAATTCTGGTACCAAAACATGAAGTCGTTCAAGAAATAAATGACCGTTTGGTATCATTGTTCCCAGGAGACGAAAAGGAGTACTTAAGTTCAGATAGCCTATGTGAATCAGAGCAACTTCACGACCAGTTTGATAAAACTTTGTACTCTCCTAATGTCTTAAATGGTCTTAAAATTATCAGGTTTACCAAACAATAAGATATTACTAAAAGTCGGTGTTCCAATCATGTTACTGAGGAATATTGATCAGAAATCTGGGTTATGTAATAGAACTAGACTACGGGTGTTATCTTTGGGAAATCAAGTTATAGAAGCAGAGATTATATCTAGAAGCAATATTGAAAGTCGGACATTTATTCCAAGAATGTCTTCGACACCTACAAACAAAAAGATTCCATTCAAATTTCAAAGGAGACAATTTCCAGTTGTTGTATGTTTTGCCATGACCATAAATAAAAGCAAAGGACAATCATTATCGAAGGTTGGTTTATTTCTAAGACAACCGGTCTTCACTCATGGTCAGCTATATATTGCTTTATCTAGAGTTAAAAGCAGGCAAGGTTTACAAGTATTAATTATAGATGATGATGGTATTATTAGCAATAGAACAAATAATGTTGTATATAAAGAAGTATTTAGTAATTTATGATATGTGGTTGTTATTCTATTAATAGTAGAAGGGTACTCGTGTAATGCATCGAGACATATCTTGATTTCAGTATTTCGTTTTATTTCTTTTTTATGTTGATATAATACGGTTTTATTTGGTTTTGAGAAAGCAATAATGTTTTTATTTTTGAATAACAAATAAATTTGAAAATATCATAAAATTTTGAAAAAAAATATATATCGATATCAATATCAAATTAATCATTTTAAAAGTTCTTGTGTTTTGGTGTAATTTTTTTAATTCATTTTTTTATAATAATTTAATTTAGGTTTACTAACAAAGAAATTTAATTTAGATTTAAAAATATATTTTTTTATGAAGATAATAATTAAGTATTCTGTTATAACTCAATAATTATCCTAATTATATTTAAGATGTTTTATATTTAAAATGGGATGCTTATCCAGTATTTGATTATGTTTATCTACAGTTAGTTACACGAATTCAAATATGGAGCTATAATAAGTTGTACTTATGCACAATTTACTTGTAATCTTAAATTTTAAGTAATATGCATCAATAAACGGTACTTCATGCATAAAAAATGGTTTTTAAGAGTTTTTGTCAAATACTTTAGAATATAGTATAGATTTAAACTACTTACCTTTGCCTAATTTCTTTTACGTTTTATTATAAATTTTGTTTTACAAGTTTTTAATATTTACTCATATTATTATTAATTATTTATAAAATGCATACTGCTTTCATTTAATTCTTGTAAAATACCCCGTGTAATACACGAGTTCGAACCTAGTGTGTATGTGTGTATGTGTGTTTATGTGTGTGTGTGTGTATATATATATATAGGCGGATTACGTTGCAAACCGCTCAATTCATGAAAACTATGCAAACCACTTTCGACCAATAGGAAAATTCTGTTTTTTTATTTAATTTTAATAAGTAAGGGTATAATGGTCATTTCATCGTACATTGATTAATATTGGAAAGTAATAACTACTGTTAACTATGAAAATGTATTAATAGAAACATTTCATATGGAAGAAGGTAAATCTTTTTTCTTAATATAATTTTTTTACCATTAATTTTTTTTATTATTTTATTGATTTATATTTATTAAAATATGAATTGTAAAAGCAGTAGAATATGAAATCTGTGTTTGTTTCATTTCTTGAAACAGTTTCATTTCTTGATTTAATGAAACAGTTTCATTAACGGTTACTGAATTAGTATTGAAACAAAAAATAATGAAACAATTTCATTTCTTGATTTAATGAAACAAAATCTTTGCTTTAGTATTCAAAATGTTTCATTATTTTTTGTTGATTATAGTATGTTTTATGTTTCATAATTTATTAGGATATACCTAATTCATTGTAGGTGAGAAGAAATCAAACGGTTTCACCCTTTATAGAACGAACTCACATGACTCTTTGTCACCTACGATGAAAGACAGACCGATTGTCATGTAGTGTTGAACGATAATTGCAAACTGTTTCATTAACGGTTATTGAATTAGTATTGGACTATTAATAATTTCTAATCAAAATAATTTTAAAACAAAGGAAATCCTAATAAACGATTAAACATATAAATAATAAAACATTTTTAAAAATTTAATGAAACATTTTGAAAATTGAAATTTTTTTTAATTTAATGAACATTTTTCATGCATAAAACGTTCCGAAATATTAATAAATTAAATTCATCAGTAAAATTATGTTCATGGTCACTATTGAACATGACATTCGTTTCATTACTCAAAGTACATATATTTTTTTAATGAAACGTATACAGATTTTATATTCTACTGCTTTTACAATTCATATTTTAACAAATATAATTTAATAAAAAATATTAATGGTAAAGAAATTATATTATAAGAAAAAAGATTTACCTCATTCCATAAGAAACGTTTCCATTAATACATTTCCATAATTAACAGTAGTTATTAGGATATACCTAATTCATTGTTGGAGATTTGACAAATTTGCCTTTCTTTAATTAAAAACTAAACTTTTATTTTTTTAATTTCTTAATATAAACTCATTTAATATTGACCATTAATGGAGAAAATGAATGGATGAAATTGGTTTGTAAAGTTTTCACAAATGAGGTGGTTTGCAATTGATCCCTCCCTCCCCCTCTCTCTCTCTCTGGTTGAGCCTTGGGGTAACTCGTACAGTTACCCATTATGGCACAAATTCATCAAAATGTACCTGGTATATGTCACTCAAAAAGCAAGTTCTTAGAAAAGATCTATCATAAAACCCATTTCGTGAAATGGAATAGAGGTGAACTTTCCTCCAAACAACATCATCTTTGCTTATATAGTAGACTTGAAGAAACAGTCATTATTGATGTTACATGAGAAAGCTCATAGCACAGTTGAGCAATTATTTATCGGTTTATACCTTCAAGCATTGAATTGGAGCATCATCTTTACGGTTTAACAACGCTTCCCAACTTTTCTTGAAGATGATGCATGCAATGAAACTGCAAATGGAATTGATGAAATACGAAGAGATTATTGAACTGCAGCAATCACAGAGGTTTTAATTCGCATTCGAACAACTGCAACAAATAAATGATATACTGCAGCAATCACAGAGGTTTTAATTCGCATTCGAACAACTGCAACAAATAAATGATATATATATATATATATATATATATATATATATATAGGTGGAGGTTCAAACGAGAACAACTCATTTTACGAGAATACGAGAACACCCTTATGACATGTGATAACACATGTGAGGTGACATGCCTTGCGACTTAAGCGTCTATGATTTAATATCACATGTAATGGTCTTGATGAAATATAGTATCACATCAAAAACACCCTTTATCACATGTGATAATAGATGTGAGGGGGTTAGTGGTGTAAGGACGATTTGTCCCGCAACCAAGATTGCGCTAAAAGTCTCCCACGTGTCTTATTTAGTATCACATGTGTATCATATGTGATAGAATAATAGTACCACATGTGATTGTATATAGTAAAAGGGTGTTCTTGCGTTCTTATAAAATGAAGGTCTTCTCGTATGAACCCTTCCCTATCTATCTATCTATCTATATAGATATATAGGGTATATTTCTTTTACAACCTTGTGTATTTGTACAACCCTTGCAACCCAATTAATTGAGATATTTATAGAAATGATGGGAGTTCATTTATTTTGATTTGAATATTTATGGAATATGAATAGAGTTCATTAATTATGATTAATACTTTATATTAGGAAACAATCAAAACTTCTATAAAATCACATATTCATCAAATGAAATGGACGGTTGAGATTGGGTTGTATTGGTTGCACAAATGTCAAGGGTTGTATAATAACCAACCTCTAGATATATATATATATATATATATATATATATATTAAAAACCACTTTCCGCCAACTCACAATGACTTACCTTCTCTCATATACCCATTTTTCAAACAATGAAATAATGTCCCGTCCCAAAATAAATGTCTATAATGAAAAAGGCAAACAACTTAAGAAATGTGTAATTATTACACATTTTAATCAATCAAATGACAATTTCTCCATTTTTATAGTTAAGGGTAGAATCGAATAGTATGCAATTACTTTTGAAAACGGACACTTATTTTGAGACAATTTAACTAACATAGGAACGTGGAAATTTATTTATAACCATTCAAAAAATTCAAATACCTGACCTATTTGTTTCAAGTAGCAGGAAAGTCTGGCTGGTTTTCAGGCAAAGCATCTTGGAAAGCAGGTAGCTGCATATACGCCTCATGCAACCGAGACAAAAGAGGGAATGGTTTCTACACCAACCGATAACAAATTAAAAGTTGTAGAATTGGTGATGAGATTGGAAAAAAAGATACATATGGCCATCAAAGACATATTTATGATGATTATGAACCCCTTAAAAGATGCATTCAATGTGGAAGACTGGACTTCCCAAGTATTTTACACATATTTCTGATGTACGTCTCTGATGCAGAGACAAACCAGAAACTAGCAGATCATGGAGCAATGGGAGAAAGGCAAACAGGCTGGAAAGAAGCCCAACTTAAAACCGACATAACTTCTGAACCATTATGAGTTTTGGGCCTGTATGGTATGCACAGAGAACTTGTAAGGGCGCGTATTTGATGACAAACTCCCTACGGAGGTTTCGTCCAACTTCGTGCGCCAAAATTAATGCTCATTGAGCTTCTTTCCAGCCCGTTTGTTTTTTTTCATTGCTCCAGGAACGCATGTGTTAGTTCCTGGACTGGATCTGCTCTTTGGCAATAAGAACGTGGAAACACCATGTTTTTAATTTCCAGGATGAACATCTAGATCAAAAAATCTGTTTTAGACAAGGCATTCATCTAGGAAGATCACTTATTTCAAGTTTTTGCAAATAGTTGCTTGTGCTACATTAATGGCTTCATGTTTTTGTAGTCAAGTTATGCATGAACAAAGGAGCAACTAAAATATCAAGCTCTTCCAGCAAGAAAAGAAGTAGTTATGCTAGGTCGCATCTTTTTTAGCCTTCCAAACAACATAGTAACTGCACATCTGGATAACTTTCAGAAATTGGAAAGAAAAGATAATTCTGGCACAATAAATCAAAACTGATGGGGCTTAACTAAAATAGTTTTTTTTTCTTTCCTTTTTTTGCAGACCATCATGTGAAAGGTAACTTTTTACCAAAATCCTTGTAACAGCCTTTCCAGCCACTTTTCCTCGCTCTGGGGTATAGGACACAGGTTTGTGTATATCCCAACCGCTAGGCACTACTTTCGAGTGGGATATACTGGTTTGTTAGGTTTGGTTTTCTTGCAACCAGCCTTTCCCTTGCATGTTGCAACTTGCAAAGAGGCGGTGTCTGCACTCGAACACCTGAGCTCCCAATCACAAGTGAGTGATGATATTGGTTGCTACATGTCTCAGTTAAAATAAAGTATTGTATTATACCAATATATACGCATAGAACATATTTGCACATATAGACACACACACAAACCATAAGCATACCAATGCCCACCTCCTCTCTGATACCATTTGGGATTACTTATTTTCTTACTTATTCATTGGTTGCTTCAGACTAATTGCACTGACAAACATCTATTACCACAAACGGTTTCAAAGGGGGATAGTTATGGATCATATAATAAAAAATCTAGATTATCAAAACAACTTGAGGAACTTGCTCCCTCCTTTGATATGGAATTCAGAAAGTGAACTGTAAGCAAACCAATTATGTAATTTAATATATAAGTCTCAGTAGACCCTACCATGTCAAGGTTGAACCTGTGTATTGAACCATGGATTTGTGGTGCCAGAAATACATCAGCCTGCAAAAGTGGAAGAATTTTAAACAATACTCCAGTCAGCATGCATGCATTTAAATAAACTAGCCGTCTGCAGTGACCTATAAAGCGGACCTGACGGTTAACAATTGATTTTTATATGATATCATATTACATTTTTCAACCTTTACTTTGTTTGTTGAACAACAAAAAAACAAAAGAGTCAATCAGGAAGCGAGACTATCATTCCACTCCGAATTTCCTGATTAACCCATCAACCCACCCCCTGGGACCCTACCTCGGTGTAGGATATTGGGTTTGTTTGGTTTTGTAGGATCTTTAGCATCAAACTATGTCCATCCAACTTCAAGACATTTTCGTTGTGAAAGTGGCCATGTGCTCAACAATATTATCCTCACACGGAGATCCTCTATTTTATTTTCTTACTGGGGACAATTAAATTGAGAACAATCCTATTTATTGTTATGGTAACCCACCTTCACCTCAATATTTAGAACTTTCCACCTGCCATTTCTAAGACCAGTAAAACCACCAACAGACAAGTTTAGTGAAGGTAGCAAGGGAGAATACAAAATGGAATTGAAGCATGTCCAGTTTCCATCTAACCAAATAGATATTTTCATTACTTCATAAACCCTAAAATCTAGCTGTATACAAATCAGGTGAAGGGAAGGTATTGGCATAATCTTCAGTTTATCCACATCATGCAGAGCAAAACCAAAAGAAAATGAACGGAAACCACTACATATTTTTACGAAAGATGTATTAACAAATCAAAACTATGAACTACTGCAATCATTGCTGTTGAGCATCAGAAGGAAGCTACCCTTCACAGAGGCTGCATCCCTAAAGCTATTTGCTTCTTTCAGAGAGGGGGAGGGGGGCATTAAAGAAAGACCAAGAGTTCTTTGCTTATTTACTTTGTTCTTTTTTCTCAGGATCTGTCTTCTGCATTCATTACCAAGCATGGTCATCCCTCACATACCATTCCCCACATACATGCAGGGATTCGAAAAAATCTATTTGAATTGTTGCCCACATACATGCAGGGATTCAAAAAAATCTATTTGAATTGTTGCTATTAGTATATATGTGCATGGTATAGTTCAGGGTCTATTCTGTCATTTCTAGATCATTGTTAGTATATATTTTGATGCAACAATGGAGAATCAACGCGGAATTAAAAGTGTAGTTGATTGATTAAAGGTAATTCTAGTTATTCGAGATGCTGAGATCACCCAGGCATGCGCCACAATTAAATACAAAATACATACCCGATATCCAGCCCTTGCCCCTTATTAATAGTCCTGTCTAACAGAAAGCATAATTTCTGCAACACACAACAAAAGTCTAACCAAATATTCTATATTTCCCATACTATGCATGCACTATATATATTACCCAAAGTGCCCCTCCCCCTCCATGTTCTAGCATGCCTGATACGAGAATGAAACTTGAAAGAACAATTGAACACAGAAGACCAGGAAGAAAGGTATGATTTGAATTGAAAACTTAGAATGAACAAAATTACAATCAAAAGTTTAGGGATAATCCCTCTCTCACAACCATAAGGTTGGAGCCTCAAACAACCATGAATGAAAAATAACCGAATGAATGATTATGGAATCTTCCTTCCCTTTTATTCTTCTCTCTTCTAACTGACCTCAGCCACTTGCCTCATTCCCTTTGTTGTCATTCCCCTTTTTGCCCTTCTAGAATACACCTTTAATATCCTAGGTTGGTTTGCTTGGAACTAATTAATTCCCCATCCGTCTCATTACTCCCCCCTTCCAACAAAGTCTTGTCCTCAAGACTTGTATCCGGAAACTGACTTTGGATCGATAAGGCATCTTCCCACGTTGCCTCGTCCACCGAGCTACCCCTCCATTGAATCAACCATTGCACGACAACTTCATTATGAACTTTGACCGTACGAGATGCTAATACAGCAGCAGGAATGATCAGATCAGCGGTATTTAAATCCAATTCAGGTGGTAAAACAGCGTTAGCAGTACCATGGATAGGTTTCTTTAACAATGACACGTGAAACACAGGATGTACTTTTGAAGTAGGAGGTAAATGCAACTTATATGCCACCGGTCCAATCTTATCTGTGATTTGAAACGGCCCAAAAAAACGCGCTGCCAACTTCTGATGGATTCGACTAGCCACAGAAAGCTGTCGATACGGCTTTAGTTTCACATACACCCACTCCCCAATAGAAAAATGCACTTCTCTTCGCTTCTTATCTGCATTGCGTTTCATAATTTCTTGGGCACGTAACAGATGAACATGAAGTTGTCGTAATGTTTCATCTCTATCTTGTAATTCATCTAACACCTGTTGAACTCGGACTTCACTCGGTATGAACTGTGTTACTGTTGGAGGTTTCCTGCCATACACTACTTCGAAGGGGGACTTTCCAGTTGATTCATGAAAGGTCGAGTTGTACCAAAATTCTGCCCAAGGGATCCAAAACGACCAAGAACGAGGTTGATCCACTGTGAAGCATCGCAGATATGTTTCCGAACAGCGGTTAATGACCTCCGTTTGACCATCAAATTCCGGATGATAGGCTGAACTCATGTGCAGTTCAGTACCCTGAGAACGAAAAATTTCTTGCCAAAAACGGCTCAAAAATAACGGGTCACGATCACTGACTATAGACTTGGGAATTCCGTGATGGCAAACTACCTCTCTTACAAAAATATCAGCCACAGACTTGGCAGTGTACGGGTGTTTATGCAGGATAAAGTGACTGTATTTCGACGATCTGTCCAACACTACTAAAATTGCATCAAATCCTTTTGACTTAGGTAATCCCAAGATAAAATCCACTGATAATGTTCCCAAATAACATCAGGAATATCTAAAGGCTGTAACAACCCTCCTGGCCAGTACAAGTTCACTGCTAAAAGCCAACATGTACGATAGTACCCAGAATGACCCCCCGAAGCTGAATGATGGAATTCTTTTAACAGAGAAGGAATGTACTTCGAAGTTTTTGAAATAACTAACTTGCCTTTGTAATATAGCACCCCATTTCGAACCATATACCCTGGATGAGCACCAACTTGGTTAAGACAATCACGGACAATGTGTTGTATCTCTGTACCAGCCTTGTGTTCCTCGATCATCTCTGCTCCCTGTAACCATAAATGCTGAGACATAACCGTCAACAACTCCCCATCCTCAACTTTACGAGACAAAGCATCCGTAGCCCGATTTTCCTGGCCCGGTTTGTAGCAAATATCAAAATTATAGCCCAACAATTTCGCCACCCAGTTCTGTTGATCCAGACTCGTGATTCGTTGTCGAAGTAAGAACTTCAAACTTTTTTGGTCCGTGTAAACCACAAAGGTAGTTCCCAATAAGTAAGACCGGCAATGCTGGACAGCTAATCCCTCTGCCTGAGGCATCACTCCAATACAAAAGGAATGTTGAAATCAGGAAGAGCCAAAAGTGGGGCTGTAACCATGCCTTCTTTTAACCGGTCAAAAGCTTCTTGCGCCCCGTCGTGCCAAGTGAAAGCATCCTTCTTTGTCAAATCAATTAGAGGCTTAGCTATGCTCCCGTAATTTCTGATGAACTTCCGGTAATAACTGGTGAGACCCAAAAACCCACGCAATCCTTTAATCTGTTTAAGCACCGGCCAAGCTAACACCGCTTCAATTTTTTTAGGATCCATTGCAACTCCATCACTGTTAATAATGTGCCCCAAGTATTCCACTGACCGCTGGCCAAATGAACATTTTTTCCTGTTCCAGCACTTTCAAGACAACTTCCAAATCAACTAAACGTTTTTCCCAAGGACTATATATCAAAATGTTACAAGGGTGGTGCCTGATTGATTTGAGCTTGGCTCCAAAGATCAAAAGTACCAAGAGGTCCCACGTTCAAATCCAATGAGGAATAAAAAATCCCCTTGTGGCCACAGAGGTTCAAATGCGGTGACTCCGGACTATCTGCAAAGCAGGTGGTCGCCCTGGGATTAGTCGGCTCGCATAGCGGGTTGGATATCCAAGTTAATAAAAAAAATGTCATCAAAGAAAACCGCCATCATTTTTCGTAACCAAGGACGGAAAATATCATTCATCACTGCTTGGAAGGTAGCTGGGCATTTGTGAGGCCAAACGGCATCACCAAATATTCGTAATGTCCATCATGTGTGCGAAAGGCAGTTTTTTCGACACTATCCGGATGCATTCAAATCTGGTTATAACAGATTTTAAATCCAATTTCGAAAAAAAACCGAGCACCATGTAGCTCATCAATGAGTTCTTCGACCATGGGAATTGGAAACTTATCAGCCACTGTAGCTTTATTCAAAGCTCGAAAATCTATGCACATCCTCCAAGTTTGATCTTTCTTACGAACCAATATTACGGGGCTGAAAAAAGCACTCATACTTGGCCTGATCATGCCGAGAGAGGAGTTCATGCACTTGTCTTTCAATCTCCGTTTTCTGAACATGAGGGTATCGATATGGTCGTACACAAATTGGATCATGGGGGTTGTTGAGGGTGATAACATGGTCATGATCCCGCTCTGGGTAAATCCGATGGGGCTTGAAAAACAGCCGGGAAACGATCCAATAACCGTTGTAAAGCTTGCCCTTGATCAGGAGTTATCTCATGTCCCAACCCCTCAGCAATAGTGGACACCAACGGAACAGCCGTCTCTATTCCTTCCGATGTACCCAACCACTGTTGCAAAGAACCAAGGGACCCCTGAGAAACTCGCATACCTTGAAGAAAAACCGGAATGCCATGAAAATTGAATTTCATCCACGACTGATCCCAATTATGGACCACCTCTCCCAGCGATTGCAGCCAATCCATTCCCAAAACCAAATCCAATTCACCAGCATCAAAAATTAAAACATCCACCATGAACTCATATTTTCCCACCAGCACTTTGAGATTGAGGCATTGTTGATACCTTATGACCGTCTCCGAGCTTGATGCTAATACCCGAACAACAAGTAAAGGGTAAAGCTAAAGAGTTACCAGATTACGAGAAATAAAGTTATGAGTTGCACCGCTGTCCACGAGAATGACAACGGGAATATCCTGAATCGCACACTCGAGCTTCATCATCTTACCACCTGGAGTGACCCTTGTTGAGACACCAAAAAATTCTAGAGCAGCACACATCCCCGACAGAATTTGTTCTTCGCCGGAGTTGGGTCTATTCGTCCGACTTTTCCAAATAACACATATCGCCAACGCCTTCGTCATCCTCATCCTTCCCCAATAATAACACCAGGAGCTTGCCTTCTGGAAACTTGTGCGTCGGACCATATTGTTGCCCACAACGAAAACAGAGCCCTTTTTCCCAGCGCTCTTCCCATTCCGTACGAGTGAGAGAACGAAATCCTCTATCGCGTTGAATTCCCAATGGAACTTCAGAAGACGGAGAACCTGATTGACGAAGAGAGGAATACGGTTTGACTAGTGAGGAACGATCATTGGGCTTCGGGGTAATTGGGCTTTTACCACTCTCCGTCCAGCCCAAGGGAAAAGAACGAGAATCCATTGGACCCTTGGCCTGTACAAAGAGCCTGCTTGATATCGGAAGAGAGTTTGAGACATGTTACCCGATGACGGCCGTAACATCTCCTCAACATCCTTTGCCAAATACATGGCATCCAGACGCGATTGGGGACGATGCAGACGAACCTAGCGTTTCACCTCATCACGTAATCCGGCGACAAAATACCCTAACGCCTGTGATTCCAGCAATTTGGGAACCAAAGATAGCAAATACTCGAAATCATCGATGTAATCGTAAATGGAAGATGCTTGTTTAATGGTGGCTAGTTGTTCATATGGGTTTTGGATCTCTAATCCACTGAATCGCTGTAGTAATTCGACCTGAAATTGTTCCCATGTGATAGAATCATGGACCTGCTTCACAATCGTGAACCGATGTTATGCTACTCCAGTCATGCTCAACTGAGCCAAACGGATACGGAGATGGACAGGCATACCATGAATTTCAAAATATAGATTAGCCTTTTGAATCCACCCTTGAGGATCAAATCATAGAATTTTGGTAGCTTAATTTTCTTCATCGCCCATGGCAACCCATCAGTCGATTTCGGAGTTTGAGCACCCCCATCGCCCGGAGACTCGACGAAGATACCGGAAAATTAATCACCAGATCCTGATGCACCCCCAGAACCATGAATCTGTTGGTTCCCCTGTTGTTTCAACCATCCCAACATCACCTTACGAAATTCAACAGATTCATTTCGATCCACCTCCGGGGCCTGCAAGGCCGATTTGATTTCAGTCGCATCCGATTGGAGCTGATGAATTACCTCTTCATGTTGCTCCAGATGACTTTGCACCGAACGAGTTTCCATTGGTAGAGAGCAACACAGACGGCAGGTCAGGGCAGGTCGGACCAATGATACGAGAATGAAACTTGAAAGAACAACTGAACACAGAAGACCAAGAAGAAAGGTATGATTTGAATTGAAAGCTTGGAATGAACAAAATTACAATCAAAAGTCCAGGGATAATCCCTCTCTCACAACCATAAGGTTGGAGCCTCAAACAACCATGAATGAAAAATAACCGAATGAATGATTATGGGWTCTTCCTTCCCTTTTATTCTTCTCTCTCTTCTAACTGACCTCAGCCACTTGCCTCATTCCCTTTGTTGTCATTTCCCCTTTTTGCCCTTCTAGAATACACCTTTAATATCCTAGGTTGGTTTGCATTGGAACTAATTAATTCCCCATTTGTATCAACGCCACTTAGATTACTGCTTATCATATTGTTTGTTTACTTTTTGTAACATATAACATTGATATCAATACAAAAGAAAAATCTCTCTCAACCATTGTCTCGAATTCATCATCAATTTTCATCAATCATTTAGCCTATCTCAAATCTAAAAGCTGTCACCCCTGATAAGTGTTCTACTTGAAAATGATTGTAAGGTACGTGCATCTACTGAATTTAGATCAAACCTAGCTACAACATAAACAAAAAATAATTAGGTTTAGATCGGAAAAGATCAACAAGCTAGACTATCTTCTAAGAGTATGCATAATCGAGATTCTAGATACACATGCAAAAGAAAATGGATAGGAAGACAACAATACCAGGAAAACATCATCTCCTGTGGCATATTTTCCGGCATGATTTTGTAGTAACTTCTCGAGTGCTGCAAAGTCAAGTTACGTAAGCCTTTGTAAATTGAAATCAAAACTTGTAGCATATTTATAACACCCATATTTTTATAAATATTTTGTATTTTGGGAACGCAGGAATTATCGTTGGACTCCAAATTTAATGTGTAAATTAATCTCCAGATGCAATTTTTTTTGTCTTGGGATGATTCGGGTCAAATCGGGATTAAACTCGTTGAATCGGGGCATTCAAGAGGTTCAGGCAACTTCCCGGGCGGGCCTAAGCAGCGGGAAAAGTCGCCCAAGCCATTGGAATGTGGGCGGGCGTTGTGCAGAGCAAGGGAATCAAAATAGTGGCTGAGATGGCCTATAGGGCGACTTATGGTCGCATGCAAAAGCCACCTGGGTGCACAGTAGAGGTGAAGGGTAGAGGCGCCTGAGGCGACCTAAGTATGGGGCCGGGCGACTTACCATCGGGCAACCTAGCCCCATTTCTTAAGTTCCTCCTCATTTCTCACCATCGCTCCTCATTTACTCCCTTTTCCTCTCACCCTCTATTCATTAAATTCGGTGGGAACGCATTAAAGTTGAATTCCAAAGGTTCTTCAAGGCACTTTGGAGTCTCTAAACTAAGAGTGTTGGTTGAGATTTAAAGCTTCAAGGATCTTCTTTCGATTTGGAGGTTTTGCTTAGTTTCTAGGCTTTAACCAAAACCTAGCATTGTGAGTGCATTCTACATTTTTCTGAATCCATATGCATGTCAAGATGCTATATTTTAGTCTCTTAAGCTTTCATTTTATATATTTCAAGTATTTGATGTCTTTGGACCATTTAGGTCAAACTTTGGGAAATTTGGGGACTTCGTACCTTTTGATAAAGTAAGTGTGGAAAATCATTTTATATGTTGTGAAGATGATTGGTACAAAGTAATAAAGTATTTTGAAACTTATAATCAAAGATTTTGGCATACTTCGGGTTTGTTGATGAAATGGGAAATCTACCCACTTGATAACTTGTTGTACATAAATATCCATGTGTTTGATATGGTTTGGCATATCTAGAAGTTATTGTGTACTAGATTTTATGCAATGGATCCATAGGCATAGGAGTCAGTTTTATTGATTTAAAGGGGATGGACACTCCCGTCTTGTAGCTTGAAATAGGCATTGGGTCTACTTAGGCAATATAGTGTGGGCTCTTGGAGTTCGACCATTGACCAACATGATGTACTTTCTAGTAAATGAGCTTAACGAGGATTTTTGGAGATTTCAAACTATGGACCTGGAGTGGTTGAAGTTGATGACTCATTAAACTATAGATCTTTGGTGGTACTTGGTTTATTCGAGAGACTAGACCCCATATCACGAAGCTAGATCCCAAGTCTCTCAAGTGTGTCTTGCTTGGCTATTCTCGTCTTCAAAAGGGGTACCTGTGTTTCTCTTCTAAACTATGTCATCTGCCGAGATGTCTCTTTTCAAGATACTACTCCTTTTAACCTATGCCTACCACCCGTATCGATACCCATCATGAAGAGGCTGATGATTTGTTAATCTACTATGTTGCACCCACTCAGGAGCACTTTGTAGCATCTCCTTGTGAGCATGTACCTACTTTCGAGGATACTTCGGAGCCTGAGTGTCGGCCTGTTGTTCAAGTATATCAGAGGCGACATCACCCAATACTAGATCCCGATCCTTTACCTCTATCTTCGTCGATGGATCCACCTAGTACTCCCACTCCTACATCATCACCTGACATACCCATTGCTCTTCAGAAAGGTAAATGTACATGTACGTACCCTATTGCTTCTTTTGTTTCTTACGATCAATTATTTGCCTCTTCGTGTTGCTTCATTACTCAGATTCTATATCAATTCCTAATATTGTTGGTGAAGTATTGGCCCATTTTGGATGGTGTACAGTGATGATCGAGGAAATGAATGCCCTTGATCATAATGGTACATGGACATTGGTAGATATGCCTGCCGATAAAAAGGCAATCGGGTGTAAATGGGTGTTCATCATTAAGTATCAGCCAGAAAAGCTCGCTATGTTAATAAGAGATATGCTAAACAATATGTGCCTGACTACTTCGACACTTTTTCTCCGGTTGCCAAACTCGCTTTCCGTCGACTGATCATCTCATTGGCAATCAAGTTTGATTGGACCTTACATAAGCTTGATAATAAGAACGTTTTTCTTCATGTTTCTCATCAAGAAGAAGTGTATATGGAGCAACCACCTAGATTTGTTGCTCAGGGGGAGTATAGGAAAGTATGTCGCCTTTAGAAATCCTTGTACGGATTAAAGAAGAGTCCTAGATCATGGAAATTCATCCACGTTATTTTGAAATATGGAATGAAATAGTGTAAGGTTGATCATACAGTTTTCTACAAGTGTTCTAAAACTTGTGTAATCCTACTTGTAGTATATGTTGATGATATTGTGATTATTGGAAGTGATAGTCAAGACATATCAAAACTAAAGACATTCCTTCAATCTCACTTCTAAGGATTTGGGACCACTGAAATATTTCCTTAGAGTAGAGATCATGAGGAACAAAAGTGAGATCTTCTTATCACAGAGAAAATATGTTCTCGATCTTCTAAAAGAAACAGGAAAATTAGGGGCTAAACCGTGTAACGCCTATATAACTCCCATATACGCCCAAGAGAGGATGATGGAAAACCATTTCATGATTTATGTCGTAATTGAATAAAGAATTCAGAAAATCTATACAAGTATTGGATAAGAATCTACAACGCCCTTCTTGACGATCCTTTACTCGGACAACATCTAGGGTTCCTCGACTTAAACCTTCGTTGTCTCCGTGAAAGAGAGGAGTCCTGAAAACGCTGGACAACTTTTATTTTGCTAGGCCCATAGATAAAAAAACCCACTTTTTTACGACCTTGAGAGGTATAGACGGCTTCTTGGGAAACCGAATTACCTTACTGTAACACGTCCGACATTGCATTTGCAGTCAGCGTCAGTCAGTCAATTATTGTCAGCTCCAAAATTGGGTACTTCTAGGAGAAATTCTTTGTTATCTTAATGGTGCTCCAGGTCACTTTATAAACGCCATGACCATGGTAAGGTAGAATGTTTCACTGGCCTAATTGAAGCTTTTTCAGATGCAGACTATGGAGGATGCAAGGATGACAGTAGATCCACCTCATGATATTGTGTTTGTTGGGGAAAATTTGGATTCATGAGTAAGAAATAAAATGCGGTATCTCGGTCATTGGCTGAATCATAATATAGAGCAATGGCCGACTTGATCTATTATAGTATGGATACATCAACTACTTAAGGAAATTGGTTACGCAATTACACTTCCTAACAGCATTGATGTGATAATGAGGCAGCCCTTCATATTGCATCAAATCCTGTTTTTCACGAACGAACTAAGCATAGATTGTCATTTTGTTCGAGAAGATGGAGGCAACAGGACGCATTTCGTCAGAAGATCACTTAGGAGACATTTTTACAAAAAGTCATGAACCTGAACTGTATTGACTATATCTATAGCAAGCTGCGCATGATTTAGAAATGTATAAATATATGTATTTTGTATGTAAACTGATTCAAGAGAAATACAATCACTATTGATTTCAATATCAAATCCCATGCATTTATTTAATATCAAGTTCTTTCTTATGTGCTTTTTAGATCTAGTTTTCAGGTTAATGTGGAAAGGAAAATCATATTGGAACATACCTGCAAAGCCTTTACCAATATGCTTTTGTACCCATGGAATCTTTGCATCAGGACCAACTTTTTCCTCGATGTATTTCTGCAACAATAAATAAAATCCAAGATTGTGGAAGCGATGTCTATGAACATTTCTGCAAATCAACAACAAAAATTCTTACTGACCAAAACATCTAGGTTTTGAAGAGGTTGTATGCTTGCAGAAACAATATTTGCAGCCTACAAATTTAGAAGGAGATGACTGTTAGTCACACAAAAATGATGAAGGAACCCGAACATAAACCACGAAGAGATAAGCAACAAAATATGATGACGTTGTATAGAAATATTCAGTATCCTTAAAGATACTCGATATCATTGTAAAATAGAAATTGGAGATTAGGGTAATATCTCCTTGTAATTGGCTGCTGTGAATATCTTCTTATAGGTTAGGAATCCTTTCATTTTCTTCTCAGATTCTTTGTGTATATATAGCCTATGTACCTCCCACTTTTAATACAAGTGAAATAAAAGAATTCCATATGGTAACAGAGCATCTTTGATCTCATACTACTCTCCTCTCTGAACAATCGGAATTTCGTACTTCTGTTGGATGTGTTTCAATCACAACAGCATCAAGCAACAACCCCAAGCTCCAAAGTCATCTTGTTGCTGTGTTTCAATCACAACAGCGATCAAGCAACGACGGTAAGCTCCAAATTCCCCTTGCTATCATTGTCCTCTCACCTTCCTCAGTATCATTATGACTGGCACAAATAATCCTCTTCCCAAACCCACTCAGAAGTCATCTCCAATTCAAAGACTTCTCACCCGAATCCTCTAGAAAATTCTGAGAGTTCCCTTTCAATTACTGGTCATAAATTAAATGGCCATAATTTCTTCAATGGTCTCAATCAGTCATGTTATATATACATGGTCGAGGAAAGGGAAGATCATCTTACAAGGGCTCTCCTAAATATGATGACCCAGTTTTTTAAACTAGAAATCAGAATGGTGATGGCATGGCTAATTAACTCTATAACCCTAGAAATAGGGGAAAGTTTTCTTCTCTACTCTATAGCTCAAGAAATATGGGAGGCTGCCCGAGATACGTATTCCATTAACGACAACACTACAGAATTGTTTGCCATCGAAAGCACACTCCATGATTTACGTCAACGAGAGTTATCTGTCACTGCCTATTACAACTTACTTACTAGGCATTGGCAACAACTTGATCTTTTATGAAGTTCATGAATAGAAGTGCCCTGCAGATCAAGCTACAATACAAAAAATGGTAGAGATGAGAAGAATATTCAAGTTCCTTATGGGACTCAACAAGGACTTGGATGAAGTCCAAGGACGAATGCTAGGAATCAAACCACTACCCCAAACCAGGGAAGTGTTTTCGGAGGTCAAAAGAGAAGAAAGTCGTAAGAAAGTCATGATGGGGACTGTTCCTTCAACCTTACAAGTTGACCGATATGCCCTTGTTACACGAGGATCCTCATATCAGCACTCAAATCCACATCGTGGAGGGAATCACTTTGATAGACTTCAAATCCACAAACAACTTATCTTCGTTTATTTTAATTGTTTTATTTGTTTTTCTTCATAATCCGTTTTATTCTAGGAGTCTTTTACTTATTAGTTTAAATACCTTCATTGTGTACCTTTTTGGAATATAGATCAATTTATTATAATTCAATTCTCTACAATTGAATAGGAAGAGACTGCAGCCTCTCGAACGCTGTAGGGTTTTAATACTCTAATCTTGGCAACTTTTTATCGACTCTTATCAAGTTGGTATCAGAGCCTACCACTATTGTTCTGAATAAGTAATCGTGCTACTATCCACGAATTACTGTTCACGATCACTGTTCACGATCACTGTTCACTATTCACGAATCATTGTTCACTATTCACGATTCATTGTTCACGATCACTGTTTACGATTACTATTGACGCGATAATGACTCCATCAACAACATCGAGGATGGACGAGGTGGAGGAAAGCTTGGGAATGGTCCAAGCGGAGGTGAACTCGTTGAAGGACGACATGCAGAAAGTGATCAAACAAATGGAAAAATGTTGATATTGCAAGAAAAAGCGCTTAGGAGAACGGAGAAGAGCAGGGGAGAGGATAAAAGCGAAGACAATGCACAACCAAAAAAGGCGGACTATCGCATAGACAAAAACTACCATACTGTCGGTTTCTTGCGATAAGGGTGAGGAAACTAGAGTTAACTGTATTCGAAGGGACAGGTCCAGACGGTTGGATATTGAGGGTTGAAAGGTATTTCGCTCTTAATAAACTAACCAATGAAGAAAAACTAGAAGTCTCGGTCATTGCTTTTGAGGGTGACGCCTTGTTGTGGTTCTAATGGGAGAATAAGAGGAGACCCATTAGGCTATGGGAAGAATTAAAAACATTACTGCTTCATCAGTTTAGACCAGCGGGGGAGGGATCTTTATGTGAGCAATTCTTGGCCGTTAAGCAAGACGGCACAGTGGCAGAATACAAAAAACAGTTTGTTATGTTGGCAACCTCGTTAGAAGGGATTGCGGATGAAGTTTTCGTTAGTCAATTCTTAAACGGGTTGAGTCCACAAATCAGGGCAGAAGTCCGCACCATCGCACCGGTGGAATTGGGAAAGGCCATGGAACTAGCTCAGAGGATAGAAGAAAAAAACAAGATTTTAGCAAGAATAAGTAACCCAAAAGGTAGTTGGTTGAACAAGCGTAATGGAGGAGGATCTGCGGGAAACAAGGGATTTGTTGAACCCTCCAACAAGAGTAGTGGACAGAGAGGAAAATCTGTCGGGGAATTCTGAAGGTTGTCCGATCAAGAACTTCAACAACGTAGGGCTCAAGGTGTACTAGTGTGATGAGAAGTATTCTTCGGGTCACCGATGCAAAAAGGAGCTTAGTGTGCTGGTGGTTCAACAGCCGGAAGAGTACAAAGTCGATGAAGACACGGAAATGGGGAGATGATAGAATTGGCAGGGATAGAAACGGGAGGAGAAGTGGAAGTATCATTGAACTCAATAGTAGGACTGTCAACAACGAAGACTATGAAGCTAGAAGGAGAGGTAGAAGGCCAAAAGGTAGTTGTTTTAATTGACAACAGGGCTTCCATAATTTTATAGCCATGATGTTTTTTTTTTTTTTTTTGTAAGGGTGTCCGGGCCAAAGCCCGACTAATCCCCGGCAAATTTGGAGGCTAAACATGGCCCCACTTAAATGTCGCCAACACTCCCCTCCCAGGGGTCGAACTCGGGTTCATGACTATGCCATGCCCAAGCCTTTACCACTAGGCTGGAAGGTCTTTGACTATAGCCATGATGTTAGTTGAGAAACTCGGGTTTATCTACAAGAATCATAGAAGAATATGATATCTCAATGGGAGCGGGAGAAGCCATGAAGGGACGGGGAGTATGTCAAGGGGTGAAGCTAAGTATGCAAGGAATTGAAGTTGTGTATGAACTTTTGCCCATTAATTTGGGAAACTCGGACGTAATATTAGGCGTTAAATGGTTGGTCTCACTGGGACCAACATGGGTGAATTGGCAAAACCAGGTTATGAAATTCAAAAAAGGAGGGGAAACCCTAACCTTAAAAGGAAATCCAGCTCTTGACAGATCCCTAGTATCATTAAAATCAATGATGATGACCCTAAGGAATGAAGAACAAGGGGTGTTAATTAAATTAGAAAATGTGGAAGCTGAGAACAAGGGTAGCAAAATGTTATTGGACAACATGGAGAAACTTATAAAGGAGTATGAGTTTTTTTTTTTTTTTGTATGCCAGACGCGTTGCCACCGAAAAGAGGGAGACAACATGGGATTGTTCTTAAGCAAGGAGTAGAACGGGTCAATGTCTGCCCTTATCATTACCCGCAATACCACAAGGATGAGATCGAAAAATTGGTCAAAGAAATGTTGAGTGCAAGAATAATCCAATATAGCCAAAGTCCATTCTCAAGTTCGGTACTTATGGTTAAAAAGGACGGGAGTTGGAGATTTTGTGTTGACTATAGAGCTTGAAAAAAATTACAGTACCGGACAAATTTCCAATCCCGATAATTGAGTTGCTAGATAAATTACACGAGACTGCTTATTTTTCAAAATTAGATCTTAAATCTGGCTATCACCAAATCAGAATGAAAGAGGACGTATACGAAGACCGCTTTTAGAACACATGAAGGCCACTACGAGTTTCTGGTTATGCCTTTCGGCCTATCCAATGCTCCATCCACTTTTGAAGCACTGACGAACGATATATTTCGACCTTCTTTGTGAAAATTCGTGCTGGAAATTTTTGACGATATTCTGGTGTACAGTAGGGACGAAAGTGATCATGTAAAGCACTTAAGGGAGGTCTTTAAGGTTGTGAGAAAATGCAAAAATGTAAATGATTATGTATTTAATGTAAGAGTAATGGGAGCCAATTATAATCCCATAATATTAGTGATTGTAGGCAATCCCATAAAATCAAGGATTCATAGAATAGTTTCATTTTCTTCCCCTTTGCCTTGTGTATTTATATTATATGCTTCTCTGTCAAGAATGAATAAGAAACACAACAGAATTCCTAAATCTGTTATGGCATCAGAGCTATCGAAACTTGGGAAGCCTTTTTAGCCTTCATAAACCTTCTATGAAAATTTCGCAGGCGTTCATTGCCTCCTTCCTTTGATTCCTATTTTGTGGCCTTTATTGCCAACAATTCCTAACAGGCACAGAAAGAATGACATAACCCAAATCAGAATCTGCCATAACCCATGTTTCTAAACCAGGAGATTTACAGCACATTCATGCATCATACCGATTGGATGGAAAGAACTATCTCAAATGGTCTGTCCTAGGTACTTGTTTTTTACCTATTCAGGTGAGCATCCCTTTTCATTTGGATTTAATGTCTCAGGTTCAACCCTAAAATACTCCTAGATCATTGATTCGGGAGCAACTAACCATATGACTCACTCTTCCAAACACTTCTCCACATACTTAACCTTGGCCAAGTAACAAGAAAATTATCACTGCTGATGGAACTCAAACCACCATAGCTAGTATAGGAGATATCCAACTCAGCTCATCTATTCTTTTATAAAATGCTCTTCACGTCCCAAAATTGTCTACTAATCTGATTTCCGTAAAGAAACTAGCACGAGATTTACCTTGTCAAGTGGTATTTTGTGACGAACATTGTTTGCTTCAGGACAAGGATTAGGGGAAGACAATTCGACTTGCTAAGGAAAAGGATCATCTATATTGTCTTGAGATGCCAAAAAGTACCAGATTATCTCACTCTCTCGTATGAGAATCTATTCTTTCCAATAAAGAAAAAACCATACTTCATCATTGTCGTTTAGGTTATCACTCATTTAGGATTATTAAAGTTATTTTTCCTTATTTGTTTACACCAATCGACGTTGAAAGCCTTCATTGTGAGGTATGTGAGCTTGCTAAACACAAGCGTATCCCTTTTCCTATCAGTGATAAAAGAAGCAACTCTCCTTTTTATCTTATTCACACTGATATTTGGGTCCATCTAATATTTCCAATGTGTCGGCCTATCGGGTGCAAGATGGTTTGTGACCTTCATTGATGATTGTATACGGGTTACTTAGGTGTTCTTATTAACACATAAGTTTGATGTCAGCACTATTCTCCCTAATTTCATTTAGATGGTAAAATATCAATTTGGTGTAGAAGTTCAAAAAATAAGATCCGATAATGCTCGAGACTTTTTCAATCAAAACTCACCTCCTATTTTCAAAAAGAGGGAATAATTCAAGAATCTTCATGTGTTAAAACACCTCAACATAATGGAGTGGCAGAGAGGGAAAATGCGCATTTATTAGATCAAACTAGAGCATTATTATTTCAAAATAATGTTCCAAAACATTTTTGAGGAGAAGCAGTGCTCACAGAGGGCATGACCTCCGAGAAAAGATGTGGGATGAGCAATGAGGAGGAGGGACAGGCCAAGGAAGACGTGGGATGAGCAACTGAGGATGGACATGGCGGCCTATGACATCACCGAGGGCATGACCTCCGAGAAAAGATCTTGTGGCACACGACTAGGATAGCAGCATATGGTGTAGGGATGTAGAAAAATGTGGATGGGCGAGAGGGAGGGAGTGGGTGAGGGTGAGGGTGGGGCATTAAGAGGGTTAGAGAGGTGTCAGATAGGTTATTGGTGCTCTTTGTTAAGTAAAGAATTGTGTAGTGTTTGTTCCTCTTCTATGTTGCACTGTAGTCCCTTCTTTTTATGTCGCCTACTTTAATTAGTCTACTAATTGATTAATGGGTTGGCTGATTCATTGATGGGTTATAGGCTACTGATTGATCAAGGGGGTACTTATTTCATTGATGGGTTGTGGGCTGCTAATTCACATACTACCCATGTTCGGCCTGAAGGGCTGCTTATTTTAATTAAAAAAAAAACAATGCAATATTTGCTGATGAAGGCTCGAGTCCACAAACTTCTCTCCCCCATGAGTGTTGTTGCCGGTTAGGAAGGCCTTAAAGAAGTCATAATTGTAGAAATAGATTAAGTACCTTAAATATTGAAGATGCACAATATTCTTTTGGAAAGAGGGTGACAACTCTGGCAATTTTATAGATAAGAAAGAATTAACACCTAAAAGGCAGGAGACTCCCATTTAGTTGCAAGTTCATTCAACAATTGGGACACGTCCATCTGGTGGAAATTTTGACCGCCTGGTGATACACTTTGGTTGGTCTCCATAATGTTAACATCAAATATTGCACCAATGTAGAAAGCTAAGAGAACAAGAAGCCAAATGATTTTACCTGGTAATTAATTGCCCTTTTTTCAAGGTCACGTGGCAACAAAGGGTGTTGCGGATACTTCTCCTCAAGGTACTGTATAGAAGGAAAACATGATGGCGAAACAGGGGACAAGGACCCAAAAAAGCATTATGATAACAATAAACAGAAGTTAAATCATTTCATAAACAGAGTTCTGTAAAGCAAGCATTAAAAACTCACCATTACGATTGCAAAAGAGTCAGAAACTAGTATGTCACCATCCACAAGCGCAGGCACATACCCGATCGGGTTGACTTTCACAAACTCTAATTAGAAAAGGGAGTAATGTTACTAGCATATTTTATATGGTATTGACCACATAAAATAAGAAACGAGGAACCCATGAATCCAGGAAAAACTAAAATATTGTCACACAGAAATTGCCAATGCACATAAATTTCATCAAAATAGAAGCTGCAATTATATTATGGAACAGAAAGTTAATTACTGAAGTTTTGAGCATGCAAATACAAAGACAAACACAGTTAGATTAAATTTCTCTGATTTTATCCATTAAAAGGATGGCAACTATCTACAAACTATGATTCAGTTTAGCTTCTAAACTATAAAAATAGTCATTAGAACTTCATTAAAGATTAGGCAGAGCTCTAGCATTAGATCCCTCTATCTTCTGATTTGTTTCATAACAAAGCACTATCAAATAGTAAGTCCACTCATCCATGAATTTCGGTCCTCATTTGAAATATGTGATGTGAAACGGTTTCCTACACAAACCTTATACACCCTTTCTCCATAAAAGGTGATAAAGTTTCACTAGAGGTAAAACAACAATCCTCAAAATACTGGTACCAGTTTTGCTAGAAATTTAGAACCACCACTTTTCGCTTTGCAGGGCTTCTTAGAATTCTGATTTTACCATCAAATATCTCTGCGACACTAAGTTATCCTTATCAAGTATGAAAGTGAAAATTCCTCACTCTGTTGACAGAATGGAATGGAGCCAGCTTCTTGATGGTACTACAATTAACTTCTTCTCCCCCGTTTCCAAACTTATGCCCACTTTCTGAACTTTGCCAAAATTTAGAACATAGCTGTTTCATAAGTAGTAAACGTGTGGACGTTGAAACTTTTACACTAATCTGAATCTTCATCATTTTATATTTTCTCTTTCAAGCATACAGTCTAATACAACTATGGAGTAAAGGAATCATTCAATTAATATCGTGCAAATTTAAATTAATTAGGGTTAAAGTGAGGGAATTAAATTTGTTACCAGGGCTATGCTGTTCTCCTTTGAGCAGATTAACCGCTTTGTATTCATAATCAAGTCCTGTTGCCCATCCAGAAACAATATATGAGGAACAATTATGAATTATTCAACGATTTTCTTCTATCAGTAGCATCAAAAATTAATAACCTAACAAAGATCGTTTGTAGGGAGAAATTGAAGAAAACCTTTCAAGTTTAGAGCGATTCGAACACGGAAGGAACATGAGCTCCTGTAATAAGAATAGAGCTGCAGCTTCTTCGACTCTTCCTGACCACTACTCGTTGTCTACACCATCGAAGTATGAATCAAGATCGACAGTGTGTGTATAATATACATATTATATATTATATATACATACATATATATATATATATATATATAGAGAGAGAGAGAGAGAGAGAAGGGCCGTACCATAGTGGATTAAATCTTAACAGTTTAATGATCTGAAACACAGAGGGAATGAGCATAAGAGAGGCGAAGCATGAGTGCAGTCAACAGGGCGACATTTTTCAACGAACAGAAACAACCGTGAAGGATTTTTCCTTTTTCCTTCTGCAAACAAAGGATACAGCAAGTTAAAGTTTGGTTTTGGTGACTTGTTTTTCGCTTATGGTTAAAGTTTGGTTTTATTTTTTTTATATTTTTTTTTTCATTAATTTAGATATCCAACCGAGAATTCTAACTAATCACGACCACCTGTTTTGCAGATAGCCCGGAGTTATCGCATTTGAACCTCCGTGGCCACAAGGGGATTTTATTTCTCCTTGGATTTGAACCTTGGACCTCAGGTACTTTTGACCTTTGAAGTCAAGCTCGGCACCACTCTTGTGATTAAAGTTTGGTTTTATTGTAATTGTAACTAGTGTTTGACATCGCGCAACAATAAATTTTTTAAATTTTATTAAAGTTAGTTAAACGAGTCGATGATCACATTTATATATTAAACTAATAAGAATCTATATTACCTTTGATATATAAATCTAACTTATCATTATTGATTGTTCTTTTAATATATATATATATATATATATATATATATAACTCTTATATATCAATATTTTATTATATCGAACTTTGTAATTGGTTAAAAATCATTAAAAAAATATGTGAAAATATTAATTATAATCATGAGGTGTAATAACAGAATTTTTTTTATCATAATACATATCAATTTATCTTCTATATATATTCTCAGAAAATATTTATATTCACTAAGCAAACATTATGTTGTTACTTACATTGATATAATTGTTGAATATTTTTGTAATTTGCTTATATTAGTTCATGATATACTCATTTGCAACATTAATCAAAAACCTCATTAAACCCCTTTTTTTCCTACATGTGATTGCATAAAGTGATAGAGATGAAGAATAATACCTAAATTATATTATGATAGTAAACCTCAATTTTTCATCTCTATATTTAAAACATGAAATTCATTAGGATAAAGTTGTTTTGGTAATTTTAAAAAGTTTAACATTCAACCTTTTCATTTTCATTTTTGGATAAAACAACCTTATCCTAATAAATTTCATATTTTAAATATAGGGATGGAAAAGTCTTTTATATATATCAAATATTTTAAAAAATAAAAAATCTAAGAAAAAGAAAATGGGCTTCTAATGTTTAGAAGATAACACCTCATTATGTTTTGTTTCTTCTTTAAGAATTAAAAATATTAGAAAATAATTTTCAATCTCAATGCTAAAGAAGGAAAAAATCACAATAGACCGATCAACATCAACAAAAACTCATATCATATTTGTTTTATTGAATGACGTCTCAAATCAACAAAAAAACAAATCACATTCACAAAAACTGAATAAAGAAGAAGAATTGAGAGATTAAGAGAGATTATTATGCTAAACAATGTTACCTTATTTCATCAATGATTCATATGTCACTTTATCCATACAGAAACAGTAGGAATCTTTAAAGGAGGCATCACATCCTTGGAAAAGAAATAGAAGTCTCTTTCTTATATCCTCTCTTGTTCTTAAGTTTAAGTTCATGTTCTTCATGCTTTCTCTTATACAAGCTTCTTAGTTTTAGTCATCTTCTTAGTCATATTGTCACAGACTAGTCTCCCAGTCTTGGGAATCACCCTTGTCTTGGGAATCACCCTTTGGTATCAGAGCCTAGCCACCGTTCCCCCTCCTTTCTCTTTCAAGATTTGGATTAGTATGCTCTATGGCTACCGTATTATACGGATCTCTCATATCAGAAAGCCAATCTAGAAGATAAAGTCGAGCGATTCGATATTAAGCCTTAGACGTTTTTGTATTCTCAAATTGTTCTGACACTGGTTGGGGAGAAAGTGACAAAAACTGTTCCTGCGTTCAAAGTTGTTTGTATAGTACCTATGCAAGCATGTTGGTATTCTAAAATCTAGTGTCGACCAAGGCGATACGGGAGAACGCTGGAAGACCTTTCCTACCATGGAAGGTAAGGGCTAGTCTAATAGCACCAAAATGGATATGAGTATATCCTTGAGCTAGGCAATGTCTGGGAAGGTCTGGTGGGAGGGATAATGTCACTAAATGTTCGGCTGAGGTGGCCGGGAGTTGGTGTGAGTCGAACTTGGATGCCTGAACGAATTCTTTTACCTGTTGGTTTGAGCTGGATCCTATTAATTCCAACTTTAGTGTGAATTCTCCGACTAAAAGACGAAATACTATACTTACATAAGCAAAAACCCATATCATGATTTATCTTATTGAATGACGCCTCAAATCAACAAAAATGTCAATCGCCTCCACAAAATTATAACTGAATAGAGAGGAAGAATTGAGAGATTCATAAAGAGATTTATATTCTTGCATAATTCCAATTTTAGTGTGAATGTCTCCAATTAAACGACAAAAATAGTATACTTACATTAACAAATTAAAAACCCATATCATATTTCTTTTCTTGACTGACGCATCAAATCAACAAAAATGCAAATCGCCTCCACAAAATTATAACTGAATAGAGAGGAAGAATTGAGAGATTAATAGAGAGATTCATATGCTTGCATAATTCCAACTTTAGTGTGAATGTCTCCAATTAAAAGACGAAAATAATATACTTACATTAACAAAAACCCATATCATATTTCTCTTCTTCAATGACGCCTCAAATAAACAAAAATGTAAATCACCTCCACAAAAACTGAATAGAGAGGAAGAATTGAGAGATTATTAAACAATGTTATGCTGTTTTTTCGAGGATTCATATGCCACTTTATCCACACACAAAAATTCATATGTCTCCATAATTCCAACTTTAATGTGAATGTCTTCGACGAAAGAGGTGTACCGCAAAATTATACATGAATAGAGATGAATAATTGAGAGATTATTATAGAAGTGTACCATGAAAAGGGAAGATGAAAAATTATAACTGAATAAAGTGAAATAATGAGAATTAAAAGAGTAATTATTAGAGGGAACATGAATAGGTTGAAACAACCTAATTAAAGAATCTTAAATGTGAATATCAAAAATCAAAAACAAATATTGAGGTGGGAGAAGCTTGAGAAAAGGAGAAAAAAGATAAAATGTTTTCTTGTTTTGAGAAGAGACCATATCATTGCATGCGGTTTCTTCTTTAATATTGTTAGGATTGAATTTTAGAGTTTAATTGTATTATTTTTGAAAGTTGACTTTGTATCTTTTGTATTTGGTTTGACCTATAAATAGGTTTAGATTAGTAGTTTGAAAGTGTTAGAGAGCTTAATTGTCATTTGTCATATATAGATTTTGTTTCACTTTTAATCCTTTTGATTAAATCTAATTAAAAAAATAAGTTAACTTAAAGACATTTTAGTCCTTTTACTTTTTTATTTTTTTTGTTTTATTAAATTATTATATAATAATACATATTATAAGGGCTTTTAAGTCTGATGACGAAGGAGATAATGTCGAGAATACTTCTGCAAGCGACAAGGTTTATCCTCGTTGAGGAAGAGACTACAAAGAAAGTAGTTAGAGAAGCTCAGCGTACTCGTCTTCTAGCCTAATTTTTTTATCTTCGTATTTTTCTTGATCAATGTTGGTGGTCGATCCTACAATTATAGTTTTTGAACTTATGAATACAAGTGTCTTTGGTCCATATGTTTTGTCGTATTTATAATTTTGCCTTTCCAGCTTAGGCCAATTACGGGCATCTAATATGAAAGAATAAACTAAAATTAATACTATTGATGTTAATGACGACATTCAGTCGAACATAACTTGTGGACGAATGACATGTGCCTCTATTGGAGAAATAATATATTTGTTGTCTTTGTTGACGATCTTAGATTGATGTAGGTATGCCACAAGGGTTTAATTGTAAACAAATTTTTTTTTTCAATTGACGGTTGTTGTTATTAGTGACCTTAAAAGAACTTCCATTCTTCCATCTTGTCATTGTGCTTGGTGATTATGCGTTAAGAAATTCATATTGATGACTGTATATTTTAATCCATAACGAGTGATCATGCTATGTAACATGTGGCATGTGGTAACCAATGACTATATGTCTTGAGTTGTACCTTATCTGGCAATCATGTGTATTTGCAGAAGAAAAGGTTAAGGGTGATCATTTGTTTGACCAATGATCCTTTGATGCTTAAGAGAGTTCAAAAGAAATACTTCTTCAGGTGTATCGTATTCTAGCTTCGTGGGAGTCGCGATTATCTATAGTCTGAAGTTGATAGGCACCTTTTTCCATAATTTTTGAGATTTTATAAGTCATTCCCAACTAGTGCGTCGACGTCATAACTTAGATCGACTATGTGATGGTTGATCGAATGATGCCATACGAGGAAGTTCAGATTGGATGGACAAAACTTCCTTACATCCATAGACTAAAGGAAAAGGGGTCTAACTAGATGTATGCGGTGTCATGCGATTAGCCCATAATATCGAGGGCATTTCTTTGACCCATTTACCTTTAGTAGCTTTCAGTGTTTTTTTTATGGAGTTGATAATAACCTTATTACTGGATTTAGTGAGTCCATTTGACTGAGGATAATGGGGGGTCGACGTGATTAATTTTATACATCGTTCGCCAAAAAGTCAATAGGTTTTATCATTGATAAACTGCAATCCATTGTCACATAAAATTTTAAACATAATTTCAAATCTACAAATAATGTTAGTCTAGATAAAAGACACGACCTCTTTATCCCGGACTAGGGAAAAAGCAACAATCTCTGTCCATTCAGAAAAATAATCCATAAGGATTGATAAAAGTACTTATTTTCCCGATGTTGGGGGAAGTTTACCAATGATGTCCATAACCTATCGCATAAAGGGCCATATAATTACTGTTGTATGAAGTCCTTTAGAAGTTTGATGGATCATACCTGAATGTGACATGCATCACAATTTTGGACGTACTTAATGACACCCCTCATACGGTAAGCCAATAATAACCTTGTCATGAGATATGGTTAGCCAAACTACATCCTCCATAATGGTGTCTACATTCTCCATTATGCATATCTTTGAGGATTTCTTATGTTTGTTAACGAAATAGGCATCATAGATTTAGTCTGGTCGATGACCGTCTCTACAAGGTATTAGCGATTATCA